ATATTATTATTCGTTTTAAATACATGTTTAAGCATTTAACTGATACAATAAAATACATATAACTCATAACTGATAATCAGAAATAAATATTTGTAATAGATATATTGTCTAAAATCTCAACACTATAACTTTGATTATGGCTTTTTCTTTCTATGTTTTGATAATTTTTTTATTTTTTGTTATATTGATATTGATGAGATCTAAATAAAATTCAAAACAGTTATTTTTAAATATAATGTGTTTAATTATTAAAACAGAGAAAGTGAGAAAAAGCCATAATCAAAGTTATAGTGTTAAGGTTTTGGCAATAAGATCAAAGAGACTAACAAATAATAACGATATGGACGAACTAAACAGATAATATTCCTACAGATAACATTAAATAATAACTTATTTAAATAATGTTACAATATATTCTGTTACAAACAATAATAAATGAATTAAAAATAATCTTTGTACGGTATAACGATTCATTTCGGATCAAAAAATAAGCAGTTTATAGTTAAAAGATTCTTGAATTATCATAAGACTCGTCTAATTCAAGAATTCTTAAGATCATTCTTAAGATAAGATTTGATAAGAGTAAGAGGCCACTAATATTTCACAAGCAGACTATTTACAAAACATTACATTTTCACGCATTATTTCACAACTTTTAATTACAATCATCTTTGATAGAACTTCTAAATTCATTAGAACTTGTTTCAGACTTTTACGATTTTATTTTCTATGAGTGGATTTTATATTATTAGATATAGTATAATTTCTCGCCAATTATATATTTAGTGCATAAAGTTTTGTTTTTTATTTAATTCTAAATAAATATTATTCTATTATAACTTTATAAATAAATATCAATATTGCATTTACTGTTCTTGTCTATTAGTTTACCATTATTTATTTAAAAAATAGTAAAGAAAGGAAACATAAATAAATGTTTATAAATAAAAATACTGCAAATAAATAAGATAAATACATCAATGGATTTATTATAAATAGTTATTTATTATAAATAGTTTATTATTAATAGTTTTAAAATCAAAATGTTTTTCAAAATATTTATATATTTACATAAATGAGCAATATGCAAAACTAGGTCAGCGATCTGAGATGTTTTGCTTTCAACGATAAAAGTGGGTTAGTGAAACTTCCGAACCGTTACCTGTGCCGCAGGATTTTTCCTAAATTTAAATATAATAAATATAATAAATATATTCTAAAAAACTAGTTTTAATCTACATATATTCTTATACATAAACTTTTATGAAAATCTTTGGTTTAATGAAATATAACTTAATTAAAAATTATTTGGTTTACTCTCATATAGATTATTTTATCTCTAATAAAAGGTTAAAGAATAGATAATTTATAAATATAATTTTAATTTTATAAATAATGTACCTTCATTAATTTAGTATTATCTTTAAAAAAATGTGCATTCATTCTTTAAAGACGTTTCTATCTTTCCACGACATTTCCGTCTTTAAAAAAGGACATTTTCTAAAAAAAAGCGCGTTTCAAATTTTATGAAAGAAGTTAAATGAATTGCAAATAGGATATGTATGATATATTGTATGAAGCAAAATTCTAACAATCCAATCCTAAGACCTTTCTTCTTTTCAAAAACAGACCATCAATAGTTCTTTTGAGTTTAGCTTATAATATTTTTGAAAGAAAAGTACTGTGAACAATCATACATATTCAGTTTATGATACGAATGTGCTTTGTTAAAGCGACGATGGCAATCCCATCTATTACATCTTTAATAAAAATAAAAACGTATTCAACTCAGGAATCATGAAGATAATAAGATTAAGTATTACAATATACAATAATAAACAATAATCAGAATTTTTTAAACATTACAATTATGAATTATTCCAATAACGCTGAAAATTTATCATCTTATTTACAATAGTTTATATTCAGATTGAACAACGTTTATGGAAAGTTGAAATTCAAAAGTACTTTTTTTAAACATTATTCGAGAAAAGGGGGAGTTTGAGAAAATTATTAAATCGCATAATATGAAGTATTATGCGATTGAAGTATTATGCGATTTAATAATTTTCTCAAACTCCCCCTTTTAGTATAGGATTGCCATTGACATTATGAAGTATTATGCGATTTAATAATTTTCTCAAACTCCCCCTTTTAGTATAGGATTGCCATTGACATACGTGCTATCCATTCTTACATGAAAAAAACGAAAGACACGCGACTATCATGACTCTAAAATTGAGAGGATTCACCACGTTTATGCCACGTGTACTGAATGGAACCGGGATGGTGGCAGCGCGACAGTGAAAGAAGAACTTTCTTCGCAACCATAAAGACTGACTGGCTCTCGGTCGATCAGTTCGACTTCTTTGTGGAGCTAAGGTGAAAGCGTGCACGAGCAACAGTGATCTTTAACAGAAATAGAATCTGCAGTTTCTCTGTAAAATACAAGAAGACAAAAAGAACAATGCCTCATAGAACAAAATTGTGATCAAATATTCATATGGACTTGATATAGTGCACATCCACTGTGGAATTCAGTAAAACACATGGTGTACGGTGCTCTATCAATGAAAGGAAGAACGCATTCGTGATTCAAAACAACATTCGTGCATGACAAATGGGAAAATGCCTTTATTCGAGTTTCGTAGCAAACTTTTAATCTTGATTTTGATCATGATATTGTTTCTGTCAGTATCGATTAAAGGATATGGACTTCACCAGGAGATTATAATGGCTCCAGTTGCCTTTAGTGTAAGTACACTGATTCAGTGATATTGCAATGCAAAGTTGGATTATAAGAAAAGAATGAAAAGATTTTAAAATTTTTTTATATGAAGTAATTTTAAAAAATATGATTTTATGATGATATCATGTTCTATTATGAAATAGAACATGATATAAAATAATTATGTATTTCTTTAGTAAAAATAAAATATGTAATGCTTTTTTAGATAATTTTTATTATGCAATTAGCAATAGTAATAGCAAAACATGAAAGAAAAGAGAAATGTAAAGGAGATATTTATCAATCCTTATCTTTATAGTTAAAACTTAAATTCTTCGAAAATTTCAAAAAAGAGATTTAAATACTAAGTAACTGCAAGTACTATGCAATCTTAAAAAAATCGTACAATATTATATTATCATTAATGTATTAAATTCAAAAAAAATTCAAAAATTATAATAATATTATATCATTAATTAAAAGACATATTTTTAATAATTTAATTTGGAAAACTGTTAATTTGATTCGATTTGATTCAGTCAAAATCCTTGATGTCATATCTATAGAAAAAAATTATCACAAATAAAATTTTTTTAATAAACTTATCTTACTTAAAAAAATATTAATTATTGTAACGCAATATAGTTTGTAATGTTTTAAAATCTTATACATTTTAACATTAAATATTTATTAAATATTTATAAATTGTTTCAAAGTTCTTTAATTTTAAAATGTAATTAATTAAAATGTAATTAATTTAAATAAAATTAATTTTTTAAAGTTTAACGCATTTTTATTAAACATTTATTTTATATTTAGTGTAAATGTTATATCATATAATCCACTTAATGAGATATACGACATGTATGTATCTATTTAAATAACAGTTGCAATCAATCAAGCTGACATTAAAAGATTGAAGAAATGTAAATATTACGTGCACGCAACGCTTACGCTTATGAGATATTTAGTTAGTCAGTGTCGGAGGTAATTTAACACAGCTTAGGCCTTGACATTATTCCGATCATGGTTACTTTCTCTCATCGTTTATGTCGTATTTGCGGTAGAAAGTGAGCGCACTCGGATGGCACTACTCAATTGCATATATCTTTCAGGAGAATTCTTTAAATAAATCGCAAACTCGTACCGGAAGATTCTTATTTGATGAACTTTTCGGTATTGATATTATCAGTGACAGTGACACAGACGAAGAAAGATTGAGAAATTGTACTTGTGGTAAGAATTTCTTTCAAAAAAAGATTTATTTAAATTTATGTAATTGCATATTATTTTATTAATTATTTCAAATATTAAAACTTTCTAACGTTTTATTTAGTATAATTTCTAATTATTCTTCTTAATGTAGAAGTAATAATTAATCGATTTGTTTAAATTTAATATTTTTAAGAAATATTTAAATAGTATTGTACGTTTAAGTTTACATGATTCTCTGATATATCTATTAATATCGATCTCAGAATGCGGCTTACCTAATCAAGAGAATCGAATAATTGGTGGACGTCCTACAATACCGAACAGATATCCTTGGGTTGCGAGACTAGTGTACGATGGTCGGTTCCACTGTGGTGCTAGCCTGCTCAATAACGATTACGTAATTACCGCTGCTCACTGTGTACGGAAGTATGTCTCTAGAAGTAATAAGTTTATACATAATATAGGCTAAGTTAAATATCATAACAATAAAATTAGAAGTGTTATTAAAATAATTATTACGAGCAACGAAAAATTATTAAAAGCATCATTAAGTACTTTATGCATATATAGAAAGTTTGATACAATATAATCTTAAGTTTTAATATAGCATATTTTCGTATTTTAATCTTGTCAAACTGTGTAACTATATGGTAATCTAATACTAACTATATGATAATCTAATATTGTTATCTTAGTTTGAAGCGATCGAAAATTCGTGTAATACTCGGCGATTACGATCAATACGTAAATACTGATGGAGTTCCCGTTATGAGAGCAGTCAGTGTTATAATACGTCATAGGAATTTTGATATAAATTCTTACAATCACGATGTAGCCTTATTAAAATTACGCAAGTCTGTGAAATTTTCGAAGAAAGTTCGACCGATCTGTTTACCTCAATCAGGTAATACGTAATAAATTAATCAATTGTAATTTTTTTTATGACATTAGAAGATATTGTGCTTTTAATATAATAATGAAGGCAGCGATCCTGCTGGAAAGGAGGGAACAGTAGTAGGATGGGGTCGAACTTCGGAAGGAGGCATGTTGCCCGGAAAAGTGCAAGAGGTGCAAGTTCCCATATACAGTTTGACACAATGTCGAAAGATGAAATACCGAGCAAACCGAATTACTGATAATATGATTTGCGCCGGACGAGCTAATCATGATTCTTGTCAAGGTGACAGTGGAGGTCCTCTTCTCGTTCAGGAAGCAGATAAACTCGAAATAGCAGGTAAAACATTTATATTTTATCGTAATGATACATTCAAATTTTTGTTATTTTAATTGTATTTATTAATTAATATATTTTTTTATTATTTATAAGGATAAGCTTGCTATATAAAATTACTCTTTATGTTTGCACAAGTATAAAAGATTTGTAAAAATCACTTTTATTGTCATAACATTTTTTCTCAGAAAAAATTATAGCTGAATTTATAGCTGTGTTACACGTCTTTAAGGTATAGTGTCTTGGGGTGTGGGATGTGGTAGAGCAGGTTATCCTGGAGTTTATACGAGAGTATCCCGATATCTCAAATGGATCCATGCAAACATGAACGAAGGCTGTTTATGCGTCAATTGAGGATTTGCTTTCACTTCACTTTGTATATAAAATTTCACATTTACTGTGGTGTAATTAATCGCTGTGACGAGCACATTTTACATGTTCGTTCATAAATGACTTACTTGGGAACTGTATTTGTGCGCGCGCGCACACACACACGTATGGTGTGTGTGTGTGTG